TTTCTCCATAGCAGATGTTGTTGTTTACACCTAATACAAAAAAGAAGGGGAGGAAGAAGTGTAAAAAAAATCAAAGTTATATAACAATGGCTACAACAACAGCAAAACCATGAAATCATATCTTTTTAATTGCTTTTGGGATCTGCAAAGTCTAAAAATTTATGAAAAAACATATAAAAAAATTATAAATGTGATAAAAATATAAATAAATTTGATTACTGCTGCATACATGCCACATGAGAGTCTAGATAAGGAAACAAAAATATCTGTTTTTATTTTTTTATTAGGATATTTAGGGCATAACTAGCTTGGCATGTTTTTTCGACTTGATTAGTAATACTTGTTTATGTCAAAATCTCTAACAATTTAAATTAGAAATGAATTACAATTGCGGCAAGAAAGAAAAATAGATTGTGTGTAATGACTTTTCATATATTTACAAAATAAATTATATTATTTATTTAATAAACATTTTTATCAATTAGTAAATAAATATATTTTGTTTACACAATACAATTTTGATACATTATTTCACAATAAAAAAAACCTCAATTAAAATAAATTGTATTTTTAATAAAAAAAAAATACATTATTTAAGTGTATGGATAGTCGTATATATTGAGTTTATATTATTTTTAAAGGATTAATTGCCCATTTAGTGGTGGTCTTCCCCTTGGTTTTAGAAACCTTTACCCCTCATGTTGTAGTTTTAATTAATTTCAGTTAATATGAGTGCATGCAACATCTTGTCGGGTAATTAAAAATATTAATTATGCATATCCATAATTAGTTTAGCTTAGCTCTCGTTGTGGCAGTACATTAAATTAATTGATGTTAATCATATTTTAATGTGTTTTCATTAACGGATTTTACTAATCATAATCATAATAATGACCATTTGGGCTAACACAAATAAGAAGTTGGCAGACAGAATGCCATTAACACCCGTTTGGCGTTTGATTAATTGCTGGAATATTCTGAGGCATCAATATGTATTTATTTAAATGTGTTAAACAAATATTTTAATAAATAACTTTTCTATATATTTTGTATGCCAACACTTCTTCGACAACATGGAGATTTTTGAAAATGTGTATTGAATTTCTGTTTCGATACGGGGTCTCATACTAAAAAAAATTAAAATGTCGACTATGAAGTTTGACGAGTTTTTCCTCTTCCAAAACTAAAGAAATCGATGAAATGAAAGGGTTTTTGTAACGATAGCGGAAATAAAATAAAAATCGAAACAGGAGCTGTTGCTACACGCAAACTCGCGTTTCACTTTCCCTTACTTTTCTCTGTACTTAGCTGTATGATATTACCTAGGTGCATCTTCACCTTCAATATATAGAAGGCCTTTAGAATGTACTTACCTTTCGAATGTCTCTTGTGTAGGATCAGCATGGTGTTATATCTTTGGATGTACAGTCTATTACTGCAGTAATCCTATAGACGGTCTTCTGTCTATAAAAGTCTGCAGGGAGGCGATCCCTGCAGAACACCTATCTGTAGAAAGACTGTAAAACGTGTTTTGTTTTTATAAGACATATAAAGGTAGACTTGATATTTAGTTTGTAGAAGACCAAGTTTTCTAAATCGCGATGGCCTTATTCTGCTCCAAAAGGTTATAATTGGTAACTGAAATGGCAACGACGAAGAAACCGAGGAATCTCAATCATGTTCGACATTTCGGGCGGTATGATGGCTATACTTTGCTTAGGAGTGAAGAAAGTGGCAGATTTGGTCCACTTAGGTAAAAAGTAACTGGTAACTCAAGTGGCAACGACGAAGAAACCGAGGAATACTTTACCGAGGTTATACTTTGCTTACGAGTGAAGAAAGTGACAGATTTGGTCCTCTTAGGTAAAAAGTACATTATTGTTATAGAAACGTGGGGCTTAGCCACCGTCACCAGATTTTTATACCCTTCACCACACTGTGGTACAGGGTATTATGTCTTTGTGCATATGTTTGTAACAGGCAAAAGGAAACGAGATAGACACATGGTTTCTTTTGAGAATATGCATAGAATCGCTTTCTAAGTCGATTTATGCATGTCCGTCCGTCTGTCTGTCCATGTTAAATTGTAAACAAAGTACAGGTCGCATTTATGGTCCGAATTGGATGAAATTTAGCATAGGTCACTTATTCGGTCCAAGGACGAACCCTATTAAAATTGGGAAAAATCGGTTAGATTTAGATATAGCTCCCAAATATATATTTAACCGATTTAATGTAAACGGTCCCTATATATCATTCGATTTGCACGAAATTTGGTACAGCCTAATCATTTAGGCCTAGAATGATGTTGCCAATTTTCGAGAAAATCTGTCCAGATTTAGATATAGCTCCCATATATAGTCTCGTCCGATTTCATGTAAATGGTGCCCCAAATGCCCTATATATATTTTGATTTGCACGAAATTTGGCATATCGTACTGAATTAAGCCTAGAGTGATGTCTGCCAAGTTTCGAGAAAATCGGTCCAGATTTAGATATAGCTCCCATATATAGTTTCGTCCGATTTCATGTAAATGGTGCACCGACGTCTCTATATATGCTTCGATTTGCACGAAATTTGGCATAACGTACTGAATTGAGCCTAGAATGATGTCTGCCAAGTTTCGAGAAAATCGGTCCAGATTTACATATAGCTCCCATATATAGTTTCGTCCGTTTTCATGTAAATGGTGCACCGACGTCTCTATATATGCTTCGATTTGCACGAAATTTGACATAACGTACTTAATTGAGCCTAGAATGATGTCTGCCAAGTTTCATGAAAATCGGTCCAGATTTACATATAGCTCCCATATATAGTTTCGTCCGATTTCATGTAAATGGTGCACCGACGTCTCTATATATGCTTCGATTTGCACGAAATTTGACATAACGTACTTAATTGAGCCTAGAATGATGTCTGCCAAGTTTCATGAAAATCGGTCCTGATTTAGATATAGCTCCCATATATATAGTTTCGTCCGATTTCAGGTAAATGGTGCCCCAGTGTCCCTATATATCTTTCGATTTGCACGAAATTTGGCATAACGTACTGAATTGAGTCTAGAATGATGTCTGCCAAGATTCGTGAAAATCGGTTCAGATTTAGATATAGCTCCCATATATAGTTACGTCCAATTTCATGAAAATGGTGCACCAAAGTCCCTATATATCTTTCGATTTGAACGAAATTTTGCATAGCGTACTGAATTGAGTCTAGAATGATGTGTGCTAAGTTTTGTGGAAATCGGTTCAGATTTAGATATAGATCCCATACATATTTTCGTCCGATTTCATGTCAATGGTGCACCAAACTTTTCATCTTCATTTCTTTTTCAATTCGTTTTTCGATTCGCATGAGATTATAAAAATATTGCGTGTTGAATTTCCAAACGATGACATAATAATACAACATAAAAATGGTAATACAAATATTAAAGGAAACAATTTGTACTTCCGCATTTGAAAATATTGTTGAATGACAGCAATAATTCTACTGACTTTAGAAACAATACTTTTCTTCAAAACAATAATCGGATTTGGAAGTGATATTATTTTTCAACTCTACCATGGGACCAAACAAATTTGCAACAAACATAAATAAAAAAGCAACAACAAATAAAATGTGATTTTCTTTTCCGTAAATGGCATGAGGATTATTGTTGTCTTTCGCCAAATGTGCGTGTGTACATTCGTACATTCATATATTTGTGGTGATATTGGTGACGCCTTTATTGTGGCCATTTTCAGTCTGGCTGCCGGATACTTTCGTTCGTGCGTTCGTTCTTCTGGTTTGTTGACATTTTAATTTTATTAATTTACGTACGGCCCATAAATTGACCTGTCACGCTTTGGCCGCTAAACTGTTCGGACCATTTGCTCCTGACAATAATGTGCATTAACAAAATCCACACACACACATACACAAAGGATGACAATGGTGTTGGTATAATCATCATCAGCACCACGGTCATAGCTTTAAAATGTCTATACAAAATAGCATCCTTTTAAAATAATAACAATAATATTTTGTTTAACAGCACCGACAGCAACAACAACACCAATAATAACAGTTGACCATTTTGGTATTGATGCTGTGGCGGCAGATGGTTGCCATGAGATTTGTTCCAAGCGTGACAACCATGACAAAGTCGTCGTCGACATGTCATCATCAATCGTTAAAGAAGGAAATTATGAACATTGTGTCATAACTTATTATAGATAATATCTATGAAATGCCCAAAAAACAAACGTAGATTATTGCCACTGAAACAGGATGCCAAAGGATGGGAGGGGAAGAGATATCAGCAAAAGGAGAAATAATTTTCAATATTAAAATTCGTTGTTTGTCGTTCAATAATCTGTCATAAATTAAGCCATAATACAATACTGGCAATCAGCCATTTATTTATCAACGATTTTTTGGATGAAATGCAAAGTGAAATAAAGGACATAATAAAGAAAAAATAGAGAATACATTTTTTCTATAAAAATATTCGTAGGCCCTCAGAACTACTTTTTTCCACAGAAAAAAAACGTAGGCACTCAGGACTACTTTTTTATAGAAAAAAATTCGAAGGCCCTCCGGACTACTTTTGTTCTATAGAAATTCGTAGGCACTCAGGGCTACTTTTTTTCTATAGAAAAAATCGTAGGCCCTCAGTACTACTATAGAAATTCGTAGGCACTCAGGGCTACTTTTTTTCTATAGAAAAAAATCGTAGGCCCTCAGTACTACTTTTTTTCTATAAAAAAAATTCGTAGGCCCTCAGGACTAATTTTTTTCTATAGAAAAAATCGTAGATCCTCTGGACTACGTTTGTTCTATAGAAAAATATTCGTAGGCCTCAGGACTACTTTCTGTAGGCTCACAGGACTACTTTTTCCATAGAAACAAAATTGTAGTTCCTCAGAACTAATTTTGTTTTAAATTTCAAAGTTAGCTCCCTTTGCATTTAATAACACTTCGCAATAATAAACGGAAATTTTCACATCAAATCATGATTGAGAAATTCACCCAGATAATACGGAGCATTGTACTGCCCAGGCGTGGTAATAAAGTAATTGTATTTATTATGGATTGAACTCGGAACGGACAAATGAATGAATGAATGGTCTGGACTGAACAAATGAAAAGGACAGTTGATAGGAAAACAACACAAGGCATATAAATTTTATTCCGGGTAGTTAATATTGGTATGATAATTTCTGCAGATAAAAAGATTAAAATTATAACACCACGACGTGGGGACTTAATGAATGAATGAAGGCAATAGGACCGCAAATGATAAACGAAAATTAAACACCATGTGAACCCGACAACAGCTGCAAAAGGTATGAATGATTATGTAAATATATACATAACCTATAACTATACAACACACAAATATACCTATCAAACATAGATTTAATAGAGGATTATAAGTTAGGCGAAAAATAGCAAAGTAGCTGCAGCTATTCGTTATACATAATTTATAGTTTTCCTCTTCGCCATACAAAATCATTGATTTAATTTGATTAATCACCTTCCAGGCAAATGGTGCTGCGGGGCGGTGGTACGGGTTTTGTCATTCCCTGCTACTGTTCGGCCATAAATTAATGAAATTAACGGAACTCAATTAAATCTACTTAAAAGCTTTGTGTCGATTATGGCCAAATGTTTTGTTCGTTTTTGTGTGTGTTTTCAACAGGAGAATGGCCGACTGGCTGTCATTTCAAATAGAACGGCATTTCAAAGGCTTATTCGTGTTACGATATAAATCTTTATTTATTTGGACTTTGACACGGAAATTATTTGATTTGTAAACAAATAAAATGAATTGGTGGGTGGGTGTTTGCAGGAAGGGGAAAGGGCAACACGCTTAAATACTTTATGCCGGAAATAATCATTTCCATTATCTGTTCTATACTTGATTAAATTTCAATGGATACTACAATTATTATTATTCTAATTAATCTGAGCATATAATAATGGGTTGAATTTCTTTCGAACTCACAAATCATATATATATGTATATATATATATATATATATATATATTATAATAATATATTTATATATTAATGTTTATTTGTAAATATTTTATGTTTACAGACTGTTACCATAAATAATACCACATTGCCGACGATATTACGGGTAAGTAGAATGACCTATTTCAAACTGATTGCCACATAAAAAATATTGAAATAAAATGGTAATAGATATCGAGAGCTTGATAAATATGAAGGTGGTTTCTAAGTTGCCACAAATCAACTATCAACACAATTTTTTTATTTTCAATGAGAGAAACGGAATAAAATCTGCATATAGTAAGAATTTGAATTCCAAGCTAAATTAGATGCTTGGAAGTCTTTCCATGGCATAGGGCTCTTCAACAATAAGTGTTGTTTTGAATTATCCGAAGATTTTGAAGCCTTTATTCTTTATCAAGTGATTAGAACTAGGCCATTACTAAAATGCTGTCATATTTCGCAAGAGTTCGTGAAGAACCTTGTCGTACCGCATCACACACTATAATCCACAAATTAGAGCTGTGGAGAAATACTGAAAATATTTTGTGTAAAGACTTAGGTCTTAAGTCTTAAAAAGCAAAGGTGGTTATTAGATCCAGTCGTTTGATCTTCGAACCGGCCATCAGCATCTTCGTAACTTCCCGAGTGTGATTTTAAAATTCGTGAAAATGATGAAAATTCCGTCGAAGAAATATCTTTACTTATGTGGCTCAGAAAACCTATGAGTTGTTGAAAAGTCTCTCCATTCTCAACGCGTGATTTTTGGTGCGGTTAAAGGTAATTGCACATTACCTTTTCGTAAATAAGGTTGGGTCAACAGTTTCGAGAGATGAATAATGTTTTATGGTCGGGATTGAATTGTATCGATGTAGTTATAAGCGTTTTATATGTTGTTTTCTTTATATGTTTGATTTATACTGGATTAGACTCCAGTTTAGGAAATATAGCTAAGTAAGTAGTAAAAATCGTATTTGCTTCTATAGAAAAAAAGTTCGTAGGCCATCAGGACTATAGAAAAAAATCGTAGGCTTTAAGGACTACTTTTTTCAATAGAAAAAATTTGAATTCTTTTTTTGATAAAAAAATCAAAGTGAGGGAAATTTTTTTATAAAAAAATGGTAGTCCCTCACTACTTTTTGCTATAGAAAAAGAAATAATTTTTTAGGAAAAAATCGTAGGCCTTTTTCAATAGAAAAAAATCGTAGGCGCTCAGGACTACTTTTTTCCCATACAAAAAAATCGTAGGACCCCCGCACAACTTTTTTCTTACCAAAAAATTCGTAGGCCCTCAGGACTACTTTTTTCTATAGAAAAACTTTTTTCTATAGAAAAAAGAACGTAGGCCTTAGAACTAATTTTTTCTCATGACTACTTGATAAGCTGACATTTCAAAGTTAGCTCCCTTTGCATTCTCGGAATAAATGCAGCGTGTGTGCGGACCTATACCACGTGCTGGGCTGACATTCTGGACACCGTACTTCATATGAATTGGGACAACTTACTTGTATTCCTTTTACACGTCGGCAACAGTATTAGATCTAAAGGTTTCGTTTCACATCGTTAGACCTCTCTATCTAGATAATGCAGATCCTTCCGAACGCCTAAGGAAGGATCCTCGTCTCCTAATGTAGATAGTCCACAGGTGCCATGAAGAGACACCCTGTTGCATGACAACGTTCTGACAGGTTTAAATAATAATTTGGCCTCTTGTCTACACCAAGATTCAATATCTAAAAAATTAAATTCGTGGGGCCATCGAGGACATACGACATTGGTTTTCTATATATAATAGACTGAACTGACTGAAGTAATCTTACATCTGTAGATGGCCCACTCCAACTGTCTAAGACTCCATTGATCTTATATCCATAAAAAAAACGGATTGATCTGCTATAAATTATAAATGATATTGTCGTCCTATCTATTTGAGACCACATTGGTATTCTATCAATTGAATATCCGATTGGCCGTCTTTTTTTATATCGAAAACGCCATTGGTTTTCCAATTGGTTTATAGAAGACCCCGTCTCTGTATAGAAGATACCACTGGTATCAGAAGACTTCTTCGATAGAGGATCCATAGGTATTAGATTTATAGATGACCTCATGGGTCTTCTATCGAAAGATGACCCCATTGGTCTTCTATTTATAGATGACCCCTTTGATAGAAGGCTATAGAAATGTCCGTTGGCGGTATTCTAGTTATGGCAGCCACCATCGGTCTTCAATCTGAATATCCCATTAATTATTCCCTTGCACTTTTAAAACAAACATCTTTGAATTTTGTAGAGGTTAGTTGGTCTACTATTTGTAGAAATACTAAAATTGCTTTTTTTTAAGACCTTTCATATATGACAAGTTTGTTTTTTTTCTATAGACAACCTTATCGATTATGTTTTAGAAAAATCAAATAGGCCTTCCCTTGTTACTTGGACTACAATAATCTAACTTTCTTAGAAATTATTTTTTTATTCTATAGGACAATGGCTGCTTTACATATTAGACGGAAAGATTATAGAATTTATGTTTTGTTTTTTATTATTTTTAATGTCTATCATTTTCAATGAAGTAAGTTTTATATTTTTGATACAGACATTGCTGCTAATGACCTAATATTTCAAGGAGTTTGACTTTCCCAATATATCAATAGAATTCGCTGCGGCATGTATCTTTCCATTTATCTACAAATTATGTAAATGATATTAGGAAAATTGTATGGCTGATTTGTGAATATTTTTTCCTTATTTCAAGTTAGACATTTTATTTAAATTTCGTGGGAGGAATTTTTTTCTGATAAAAAATAAAAATAAAATACCAACATACAACTGTGGCTGTCCCTGTTACAGCCATTCATTTTTTTAATATTCCCCCATTCAGGGAATTTTGTTTGTGTTCTTTTTTCAAATTATTTTGTCTATTTCCAGTTTTCTATTCTATTTCGCTCACCCCATGGTGATTTTATAATTGGATGATTCAATAATATTGCTAGTATCTCTGAACTGAATTTAAAATATTCGGTTTTTTAGTCTCTGCAAGCAGATGAGAGGTTTATATAGATTATAAAATATATACATTTATAGCGGTTTCTAGATCCGGTTCACTAATATCTAATTTTTATTTTTCTTCACTTCATCCCTAGGAAGCTGAAGTTTATTTTAATTAATATCACCCCGGAGTTTCCTATTGGTTAGTTTAGTCAGCTACTGGTTGCACGCTAGCTGCTTCCACGAATGAATTAAACTTCGAGTAAAGTAAACATAACATTTCCTGTCCGAGTGAAGTTCTCGTGGTCATGATAATCCCGACACTGTTGACGTTGTTGGTTTGGGTGACTATGGCATGGTGTCTTTTTTCCCACTGACTGGATAACTGTGCGTGTCATTTACTTTTACTTGTCATTCCATGCCATGCCAGCCAGGGTTATTAGCGTTAAATTAATGAGGAAAATAATTTTTCTTGACCATAAAAATGTTGTAAAAAATAGACAAAAGAAAAACAAATTGAACAAATGACAGAAATGAGTGTAAATCTCTGGATAAAATCATAGAAATCTATAAGACCAAAAATAACAGCAGAGGAATGAGAATGCGAACATAAAATGTCTTGTGCCACAAAGCCACAACCGGATGTGATAATTTAAATTAGCGGATATATATTAACGTTTAATTGGATATTCCAATTTGTGGTCGTGCTCGTGTCTTAATGGAATTTGTTTCTTATTTGTTTTTTTTTCTGCTTTTTGTTTATATCCTGTGGCAATTTTTAATTGGCTCATTTAGTTTCTTTTTAATTTAATTTGGAAAAAAGAAAAGGAAATCTTTAACACAGCGATTAAAGTGCAAAATATTTAGATGTCAATACATAAAATTATTTAGGTTCAATAGAATATGGTAGCCGCCATATAACAATATCTTAAATGTTTCGCAATTTTGTGTAGTACGGACATGCTTGATATACTTCCCAGATTCAGCCACATTTTCCCAACGAAGTAGTTCAAATAGTTTCCATATAAAAAAGTGCCGATCCCATTTTCAGAATTTTTAAGTTTTATGCCGCATTTTTCCAACAGAAGTGCGGGTTCCAGAAGATTGAAAAAACAATTTAGAACGATTTCGATATTGAACTAATTTTTTTGATAGCTCCTGCACAGTGCACACAAAACGTGTTGGAATAACTCCCTTTTTCGGTATTTTGAAGACTCTTCCACCATTTTCCTATATAACATGTATTTCTTTTCGAATAGCCTCCATTTAAAAGTTCTCGACCATTTTCTGTATTGGGAAAATATTACCCCCATTTTCCAACATAACGGGTGATATTTGTCATTCGAGATTGGGTCGCGTTACAGAAAATCGTCAATGTTTTTTATATCATCGCCCCCATATAATCTTGGGGATTTAAATTTTGAGACCGATCAGTATGCCCTTCGGATTTTCGAACGTTCAAATACCACTTGGCATAATTATTTTAAGATATATGTACTCGTTTAACACCTCGATTTGTCATTTACAAATGTGAATTAACAAACGTACCTATCCTTTTAATGGACTAATCATTGCTACACAAACACCAGCCCTACCTATCGCACAATTAATCAGCCATTGGCATTAAAATCCCCGCAATACCATATTGGCCCATTGCCGAATAAATATTATGCCTCAAATTATTACAAAAACTAATCTACTAATTAAAAGGGATAACCGAACAAAAATCAATTCCAACGGCATTTTATTCAAATCTTCGATTTCGTAATTGCGATTATGTGTGTGGCGCAAAACGATTTTCATGTCGCATTTGATGGGCATTTAATCAAATTAATTGGCATTTGTTCATTTGTGTTTTTTTTTCCTTCTTCTATAATCTTCACCCGGGGCTAAATCAAAAAGGCAATAAAAACAATGATTTTAGTTCCATTTGAGAAGGCCACTAAATAAACAGCCGCCGGAAATATTCGCAGAATTTGATATGCCGTTCATTTTGCATAGAGTTTGGAAAAAACCACAAAACATCTACGATTGCTGTCGGCTATTGTGTCAAATACAATTCATACTCGGCTGTAGTGGTATAAGAAGTAGTGGGGGTTCGGGCAAATATGTTTGTGATTGGATATCGCTAAGTTACACTGCCCTAGCTGTGAGCTGTACCTTGGCAACGCTGGGATTAACTGCCTATGTGAAATTTCAAGATCCATATTTGGTGGAAATGGATAGTTTGATTAAATCGATTATTTACTTAGAGCTGAGTATGTCATTGTTTATGTATATAACCACCACCACAATGGTGGCCGAGGCCAAGACCCACTTACAGTTATATAAAAGGATAAATGATTTGGATTTGTTGCTGATTCGTGAATTTGGTTGCAACATGAATTACAAAGTGTTGATAATGAAACATTTGCAATTGCTGGGATTTACCACCGCCATCTATTTGATAATCATTGTATTGGGTATTACCCGGGCAACGGATTGGAGAAATATGATACTCAATCTGCTGTCGGCATTGGCCTATATTTGCATTACAGGTGGACCCACTCTCAATTTCTTTATACAAATGAATTTTGCCGAAGTGTTGGGTATACGTTTTCGTCTATTGCAAAAATTATTGAAAAGCAAACCACCAAACATCGAGGAGGGTAAATTAGTGGAACATTTCCAGAAATTAATTGATTTGGTGGAAAAATATCACGATTGCATTCGCATGACAAATCAAATATTCTCCAAAAGCTTAATCATCATAATGTTACATGACTTTACACTGACCACAAGTGAATTGTATTTGATTTTTGGAGGCCTAACCGGTTCCGGCAGTAATGCTTTGATTTATTTTGTTCTATTGGGTCTGGTGTTGCCCATTTACAAGATGACTGTGGGACCAGTATATTCGGAAAATGCTATTAAGGAGGTAAGGAGGTATTTGTGTTAAATTTAAATTACAATTTTAAAACGTTTTTAATTACAGGAAAATAAATGTTTTAAAATTATTCAGGATTTGGATTTCCATTATAGAAGTTGCAATAAAATACGTGATATGGTTGCCATTTGCCTAACCTGGCGCTGGGACAATAAAATACCGTTTACAAGCGGCAGTATGCCCCTAAATATGGAGACAATTGCTGGGGTAAATAAATATTAAATACTTCTTAAACAAAAACAAAACTGAGGATACTCCATCGACACCAATAGTTGTCAAACAATCTAACTATAAGAATATTCAACACAATATTTAATTAAAATGCTGAACTATAACTTTTATACAGTTGTTGGTGTCAATCCTGTTTTAAGACTCCCCAGCTTTGTTTACAACACATCACAACTAAATGTAATTAACCTCTTTGTCTCCCTTAAAGGTCTATGTGGAGATTTTCAATTACATCCTCATTCTAATACAATTCCGTATGACCCAGGAAATGGGTGATCAAATTGAGAAACAAAAGAATACCATTCAGGATTGGATTGGGGTAGATTATGTTTAATTCGAAAAACTCCGACAATAAAAACTCTGCATGTGAACGAATGTGCCCTTTTTCGGCATTTGTGCGTAATGATTTCTCAAACAATGGCCAGTAAACTATTGTGGATTTGTTGTTATTTATCACAGTAATACAGTGGTCCATATGGAGCTAAACGTTATTGTAAATACTATAAAATGTAAATACTGATTTAATTAAGTGTGTTTATTTATAGCAAATAAACTGCGAAACTACATTTTGTTTAGTATGGAAAATTAAATGCATGGGTCTGATTTAAAATCGAATGTATTTTCTTTTTTGTAAGTAACGCTGACATTTTTATGATGTTCACCATTAAAAAAATCATCAAAGAAAAAATAAATTCAGATGTATTTATGTAGAATTTTCCTTTTGGGTTCTATTATGTTAGCTATTCCTTTCCATTCAACATAGACGTGTCAAAAACCCTGGAAAGTACAATTTATAAAAGTGAATATTGAAGGTGATGTAATGGGCTGTCGTTCAAGAAAAGTGCCTCTATGGTGGAGAAGAACCGTCCAGATTTAAATGCTATCAAGAAGACACTACTTGGCAATTCTTGAAGGAACGCTGAATAAACCGGGCCGCATGTCTCTGAAAAATGAAATGTATTTTAACTGAAAAATTCTTCATTTCATTCCCAAGAGAAGGACAGACAGGATCGCACTAATTGCTATAGAGCATAACGCTGTGCGGGGCAAAATATGTAACTTCCCGAACATATCGGAAATATTCCATTAAGGCGAAATTAATAAAACTTCTAGAAGACTACGAGAGCTGTAGGAAAAAACGAAACATGGATTCGATGAAAATACGTTTTGTCATGCCAAAGGTAAAAGGCGAATGGATGTGCCAGAAGGATTAGAACAATCTAAAAACAGGTGCCGACAACATTCACCCATCCAAACAAAGGAGGACAATAAACGCTACAGTATGCACACATACCAGCTCAGCGATGCATGAGTGTATCGAAAGTAGTTTGGACAGCAGCAGTACATATAGTCCTTAGGAGGAACATCAAAGACCAAACGGAAGTATAACCGAAGAATCATTGCAAGACCCCTAATTACAATTCAAACCTCGTGTGAGTCCACGGGGATATCTACAAAAAAGTTGTTCGGTTGAACGAACACTTGTAAAGCACGTTCTTTTAAACACTCTGAGTGCTTTGAATATCAGCCCGAGATATTCTATTCAACAATTAATAGAGAAAGTTGATTACTCTCAATTTTGAAAGCAGGAGTGCTCAAACAATGCAGAAGTCCCACGAAGTTGTTTATTGTTTCGCGTTAAAGATTTCAAAGATTTGTCTGTGGCTCTGAATGACTACCGAAAATCTGACTTCAAAAATTGTCGAAAATGCCTATAAATAACTAGTGAGCGGAGCAGTATAATCGGACAGGGCTGACCATTTGATATCCTACACAACTAACACGAACATCTAAACTTCTGAGGTTCTATATTCTGAGTCTGGGCAATATTTCGCGATATTTGCACCATCTTGATTGATGATTAGTCAATAGGTTCTAACCCTGACATACTTTCCAAATCTCGTTTTCCCTAGGTGAATATTTACGTCATAAAATAAAAATTTGGGGATGAATAGTAATACTTCACCGTGTAAAATATATTATAACAAACCCCAATTTCATGTAAAATTTCAAAGAGATCAGCGCTACATTTCCACCCTCTAGTGGGGTAATAGTAATACTAAACAATATTATAACGAATATCAGGAAATGTCTGTATCCACTTGACCTGCTAAGTATTGACCGGTCTTTATCAAAACAGTCATCCTTATTCTTTGGCTCGATCCCCTTCTCCATGTAAAATTTCACGATAATTGTGGTCTCTGGAGCGACCAGAAAATCTGACAAAAATAATGTTTTTGGTTCATTTCATCCCTTAAATATTATCCCATTTTTATCAAAATCTATAGGGCTTGTCATTGGCCAGAACCCATCCTACATGCAAAATTTCGGGACCATTGGTCCATAACTGTGGCCTTTCTTCTAATTTCGGTTTATTCACATTCACTAACAAAATAAGACCACCACTGTGCGTTTTTATAGTTGTACATTTATTAAATATTGTACCACAAGTGAAAGTGGACGTATGTTCCAATTTTGAATTTTTTACTGGATCTTTATAACAGTGTGTGTATGTGTGCCTATGTGTTTTTGTTAATATTTCCCTTGATGACCACATATTGTGTCACGAACATCCACAATCACACACACTCTGACATTCTCCCCACTGCTTCAAATTCCTTTTTTGTCTACCAACTGACAGTGTGTGAATGGGAATGGTGTTGCAGCTGTGTTTTATCAAATTAAAATCTCTCCTCAATATGCTTAAAACTAATTGTTGGTGACACAAATTGCTCGACAACAATGAGACCATGGTAGCAGCAAACCAACCGAGCGACCGACCAACCAACTTCAATTCCGAAATGTCGAACATTGTTTTTTGTGTCAAACAGTGCTAACATTCGGAAGTTGATGTTCGCAGAGCGTACAAACGAAGACTGATGTTAATATCATTTTTCAGTTTTCAGTCACAAAGTGTTGAAATGGTCAGGGGTGGAGAATAGAGACGATTTTCAGAAGGAGCAAAATATACTCAACTTCCGCACATTCCTATAGGCATACAAAATAATATATTTAAAAATTATAAATTTAATATTTAAGAAATTTTAAAATGTCTTGAAATTTATTCCATTACATCTCTGGCTACATCATTGTTTCAAATGATATCCCCTTTGACGCTTCACAAGGCCATTGACGCCTAGCTGCAAATGTGTGTGTTGTGTGTGGTAACGGACAACGAATAAATGCATGTTAGCTCCAACGCCTGTATCAGCGGATGTACGTCCGCCCGACCGACCGACCATTCTCCAGCTCGTACATGGGCACTGACATATAAATGAATGAAGAGGGTATTCCGATCTAACTACATTTTCCGCCATGTCATGTTGATGTTGTCTATTTTGAAGGCCGTTATCATTGAAATCATTACGGATGGGATTTGTATTGCAATGTGAATGACAACTACGCGAATATCTACATATGTAGTCGGATGTCTGTCCAACCATTGATCTGTCGAATTGAGAGTATTTAATTTTTGTAATTATTCGTTGGGCGGTTGTAGATTTCATTTCACAGAGCACCACCCCCGCCCCACTCGCTTGTGAATGCGAATATAACGTAATTTTATTCATATCCTTGTTATCCTTTATGTTCATTTACATGTTAAAATCCATTGCCATTGGCATTGATATTGTTGTTGGCAGTGGTGTTTGAGTGATAATGACACACCCTCACTACCATTGGAATACTTTGTTGTTCAGTTGTTGTTGATGTGGTTATTGTTGTTGGGGCTGCTGTTGCTGCTACTGTTGTTACTACCACAGCCTCTGATGTTCTGATGATATTTCATTACGCCTTAAATCGTCCCGTAATTAATTACAATGTAAATTATTAACAGCAAATAAATGTGCGTTCAAAAACCCACAGCAATGTGGAATAACCCATACCCATACACATGCCTGCCAACATACAGAAGTGTGTGTGTAGGCTGACAGGTATGTGTTAGTGCTGTTGGCACATAACACCGTACAATGCGGTTTTTGGATAATTCAATATTTAAACTGTGATATATGGCCCTTGTAATTGAATCCATATTAAATAATGTGTCATGCCAACATGGCTACCAACCGATTCCTAACTAACTACCATGCCTGCCCGGCTGTCATCCATCAAATGTCTGTGTTCCACTAAATTTCTGATGACTGTAAATTGGATTTAGTGAAAACTAAAATCAATAAATGTTGTAATGTTTGATTTTTGTTTTGTTCGGCTTCTAATCTGATGGAAATTAAATTTATCAGAAAAATTTAGTTTTGAGAATTTTGTAAATAATCGAATTTACGGGTGTATATTGATATTATAAATTATGTCTTTATTATTATTTGGTGGGTATGTGTTGAATGTAGATTAGTAGTGAATGGAATTAACTTTTACTAAAGCCAACAATTGTGTTTTGCAGTATCTGAATTTTAATATTATTTGATGTCATGCAATTAGAGTGGGTATTTTTAATTTATAAATTACATAACAATATCATAAAACTAATAGAAGATAGATAGCAGACATATGGGGTATGATATATATATATATATATATATTATAAATTTTTTCTACAAAAATGTTCAAAAAAATATCCTATTTAATATTATGGAGGGTATAAGAAGATGTGATCTCCCAATGCAGTAGTTAACATTCTTGAGCAAAGTGGAAAATTTCACCAACACTAAATCTTCACTAAATCACATAAAAATTAGGAAAATTTAAATGGATGAATCAAAAATTTCTTTTGAGTTATCCCGGATGAAGATTAATATAAAATTTTATATTTTTTTATATAATTTTTATTTTTTTATTTTTTTTTTTAATTTTTTCAGGAATTCCGATATTGCCTTTGCAAATTTTTGATTGTCAGCAATGTGGAAAATTTGGCTAAATAATGAATTTTTGAATTTATTCCAATGCATAATTCTATGCCAGTACATTGAATAATTTCTAATTTTTTGTGTAACCTTTTCGAATATTCTAACAATGAGACTTAGCAATTAGTTCGTATGAGTACTGACAGTATGTATACGCCAACAGGAATTTCAAACAAATGAAATACGGTGATAACAAGGTATTCGCCAAGTATAACTATTTTTATTAGGGGTACGAGTTCTTTGCTAATTTTTTCCAAAAGGCTGATAAAGGTCCCGAAGTTTAGAATTTGCATGAAATGTATGTTTTATAAACGCTGATCATATATTTGGAAACTACCACTAAACCCTAACTTTCTGCGGATTTATATTTTCAGCCAGGACAATATTTCTGTTGCACCCTCTTTACCGATTATAAGTCAAAAGGAACTCGTTCTTACTTTGGCATCTTGTAAATTTTCACACC